CTTTTAATTGTTTATGATTTATTGCTATGATTTTTTATTCATTTTCCGAAAATGAATTATTATCAAATATACATTTTGCAGAATTCCACTGTTCGTTATCATATACATGAGAGTACACATATATATATGGTGAGAGAACGATGACAGTGTCGGATGAACAATCAACATGAACTTGGGCTCCTTTTTATTGGGCTTTTTTTTGTGCTGATGGGCTCCTTTTTGGGGGATTTTTTTAATGGGTTTCTTTTTTATTGAATTAAAGTGTTCTGAGGAAGAAGGTTTATGTGTTTATGTTTTTCTGTGGTTACATCACTGCTGATGATGTATTTCTTGTATTGTTTATTATATGTATTGCTTCTTTTCCCTTTTTTTGTTTTTCTTTATTTTCTCCAATTCTCTCAAGGATTCTATTTGATAGTCACACTGAGAATGACATTATGTCACACATATGTTTCTGTTTACGTCCTTTAGCTGTTGTGATTTGATTAGCGTGCAGTAGGTGCCGCTGCTCTTGTTAATGTGTGTAGCCTTTGATATTGCATTTATCGTGGTGATGTTGTTATTGTTGTTTCTGAGAGTATTACTATCGATGTATACATGTGTTTAATTCTCTGTTGGATCTAATATAATATGTATATTTCTGTTGGCATTCCGTATTTTGTTTTGCTATTTGTTGCGTATTCTTTAACAGTGCATCCGCTCATCCATTGACGTCTAATTACAGCAGTGAGTGTACTATCGTATGGATATTACTGGTCTCATTTAACTACAGTTACAACGGGTTCGTTACATTTATAAGCATTAATAGTGATGTGGCTATGTTTGTGGGTTTCTCTGTATTTCAAATGTTCACTTTATTATTTCTTGATAATTGACTATACTTCAGTCTCCTCTTTTCCACAGGTACGCCCAGGTCATTTGAGAATGGTCTCTAATGGAACCTAAGAGTATTTTGCACCTCTCCTAGTTTGTTTGTTCCATTGTTTTTTGTTCTTTTTTTTTCTTGATAATGCTGTTGTTAGTGTGATTGGGGGAAAACAATTGCACTAAAGCAAAAAGATGGAATGTTCAGTTATTTAGTACATACAATGCTGTGCGTAAGACACCAAGGATAATATTATCACAGGGGACTATGTAAGTGTTTGTTTGGGGATGGGTTAAACGATATCTCTGCTGTATTGTTGTGTGAATGTCATTCTTTCTACTGTGTGATGTCTTTTATGCCTTTTCTCTTTTTTTTTTTATTGTTTTCTGTGTTTATTTTATTTTTTCTTTTTTTTTCGCCAATATCGTGTACACAAGTCGTAATACTTGTTTTTCCATCAAGTTTACATTTGCTATTCACATGATGAGGCATTCACTCCTCCATGTGGTGTTATTACTGTTCATCTGCGGTACTGTGGCCAGACCTGCATACGCCTGTAATTACGATGAAATCAAAGAGAAGAGCGGTCCTCCTGTCGTTGTGGTGAGAGAATTACCGAAGAAAGGAGAGGGCACTTGGCAGGCGTATACAGTGTCGACATCTGAAGATAGTAATGGTAATAAGGGTTGGGAAGCACTCCGCATTCGTGTGTCAATCGAAGATTTGAAAAAAGAAAACTACTGTGCAAGCACTGGTGAGACTCGCAAAGATTTTTTGGATGGCCAAAATGCTCCGTGTACTCCTAATGATTTTATGATGCCCGGAAAAGAAAAAGCGATCAAAGATGATATTCTGCCCGCGGCTATCAAATTACACACTGATCGTCTCCAAGTTCAGCGGATGAAAACACCTTTGCAAGTACCAAAGTTCAACGAACTCTCCGTTTGTTCTCACTTCACAATTCCCAGTGGACACTACGCACCTAATGGTGTAGAAAACGCTGATTTTGTGTTGTATGTGGCTGCTGGTCCAAGTAAAAATACTAACCACTCATCTTGGGCTGTAACATGTGCTATTGATGATCAAAGTAAACGTCCAATTGTTGGTGCCATGAATATTCATCCAATGCATGCAGATTTTACACGAGTTAATGTTCGTTTGGCTGCACATGAACTCGCACATGCTCTTGGTTTTGACTACGAAAGGATGAAGGAGCGTGGAATGACAAGGTATAGTAGCAGTTACCATGACAACCGTGCGGTTATTATATCTGCAAAGGTACTGGAAAAAGCAAGGGATCATTACTCCTGTCTTAGTATCGAAGAAGTTGAATTGGAACATACAGCTGAAGGGAATATAACGTCCCACTGGAATCGGAGTAACATGAAGGATGAGTTGATGAGTATGGTTTCAAAAGTTGGACATATTGAGGGCATTGGTTACTACACTGCACTAACAATTGCAGCATTTCATGATATGAAATTTTACAGGGGAAATTTCAACATGTCAGAAAAAATGAGTTGGGGATACTTGGGAGGTTGCAACTTTGGCAGCCTTACTCCTGAGGGCACGAAAACAGTTTTGGCTCCTGATGGTTACTGCATTGAGGCCCGGGAAAAATCCTGTTCATCTGATCGCTTGGGTGTAATCAATAGTGTTGCATCCAAGGCAGGGGAATCCATCTGTTCTATTCTCGTGCCAGATGAGAGATTTTTCTGTACCTCAGAAGGAGATATACCTGGTAGAGATATGGGACTTTTCAGAAATGATTCTTGGTGTTTGGATGTTGATTATTTTAACCTTACAATCGAGGAAGAAAAAAGGATGAAACATGGTATGTGCGCAGCAGTGGAGTGCACTGATAATCGTGTTGTTAATATAAAGCTGACAGTGGACGGAGCTTGGCACAGGTGCCGGGAAGATGGATTTGTTACACTAAATAAGACAGACTTCCCCATGTACGTGAATGGAAGTATAAGGTGTCCCAGATACGATGAAGTGTGCACAATGAGGTCCGATGGGAGCAGTCGTCTCACGTCGCAAGTACAGGAAAATACCCAACTGATAATAGAACCTAAATGGGTAAGCAGCACACCAGCTGATCCCAATATAGACGTCCCTCCGCATTCATCAGTTCAGAGGGGCCAAAGTCCCCAAACATCAACTGTAAATAATGCTCAGCAAACCACAAGCACTACCACTTCTGCAGATGCAAACAGACAAAGAAGTTCCACAACATCAACTGCTATAGTAAATAATAATGGTAAACCCACAAGGAGCAGTACCGAATCTACAACAACCCAGGGATCCGTTAAACAGGAAGATACTAACAAGAACAGTAAAAAGGCATCTAATCGTCGTAAAGATAACAGCCAGGCTACAAAGGTTTACTCACCACTTGTACTACTTGTTCTCCTTGTTTCGGCTCTGCTGATATCTTTTTGATCCTCGTATTTGCTAAATACAATTTTTTTAAATTTTTGCTGCTTTTTTTTGTTTTTGCTACTCTCTCTCTTTCTGTGTGCAAGTTCATCGTTACGAGGTGGTAAACTACAGAGAGAGAGGTTGCTTGCGTTTCACTCTACATGTTTGTGAAACGATCATAAGGATGCTAAGAGTAGTTCTGTAATAGAATAACAATCTCACATAGTCAGATTCGTTACATGTATCTCTCTGTCCTTGTGGACTTGTGAGTGGTAATCTTGCGCGGGACCTCTGCATCTCGAAAGAAAGACTTTTTGTTTTAAATTTATTGCTCTTTAACTTGATGGAAAAAAAATTTTTTTGTGCTGGTATCCTTTGAGGATGCACAGACCTTCCACGGTTTGTTTCTCATATTTTGGTAAAACGATTCTGCTAAAAAGATTTTTTTGGACAGGAACGTATAAAGTTGGAAAAAGTGAATTCTTTTTTGTGGGTGCTCTCGGGGTGGTGAGAAGATGTTGAAAGGGTGGAGGATAACCATTTTTTTTTTCTTTTTGAGTATTCACTGGGTGACTCTGCTTGCCCTTGTGGGCTGTAAGATGGATTGCTCTATTCTGTTCCTATGTTAGAGTATGACCATGATGGAATAAAAACGTTGCATGTATGTTTTCTCTTTTTTCTCCTTCTCTTTGTTGATTGTTTTTGTAGTGTGAGTAGTGTGTTGGGTATTCTCTTCTCTCTCTAGTCTTGTTCATGTCTTCCCAGGGATATACCCACAATAGTGTGCTCTGACTAGTTCTCTCTGGTCCACACAGTGTTCTCCATGTGATGCCAAAGGAGTGGAGTGTTTTTTTTTCTTTTGTGTATTTGTATAAATAAGGAACAAGAGATGATAGTGCTTGCCCAAAGAACCAAGCTGTCACTATTGAGTTGATGCCGTGCAAGTCCATCGTCTTCTTCTACACTATGGGAGCACTGTAGTGTTGTATGAGTGATGCTGCAATAAGAGAGAGGATTCAAATAGCATTGCTGTGAGTATACTATCGTATGGATATTACTTGGAACTTGTAAAAGGGAATATGCACCCTTAAGTGCTTTGGGGTATTAATGGGTAGAGGGTTTCGATAATTTATTATGTTGTATGTAATTGTTTCCTTTGTTATGCGTTAAGCGCAACGGAATAGACGCTTATGAAATATGTAAATGTTTGGCTTTTCTTTTTTGCCATCTTTTTATTATTTGAAAGTACAATTTTGGATTTGTATTCCCATGATAAGTGAAGTGATTTGGGTTTGTATTTTTTTGAAAGGGGTGGGGTAAATCTAAATCGGACCACAAAGGGTGTTTTTACCGTTATGTTGATTGTGATATATATATATATATATATATATATTTCCCATTGTGAGACCTTTGTTCATAATTTAATATTCTTCGGGGTTCTTGATTGTAGGATACTATACAATGGATGTTATGGTTTAATTTATTGCATGCCTATTTGGGTTATGGATTTGCAAAGGGATGATTGCCCACAACTCAGTGCAGAATTTTCATGTTTGTTCCCTTTTCTTGTGTTAAACATATTGTGTGTGTGTGTGTGTGTGGGTAAGGTGTACTTGTTACTCAGTGTTATCTTTTCAAGAGGGATTATGCTAATGTATCCCAGGAATTCCAACAAAAGTGGCATTTGCTTATATCAGTGAGTTTCCCTTTTTTCCAAGTGATATACTCTCTCCCGATGCTTAGGGATTCATGTGATGCTGGGTTGTGGTTAATTCTATTGTGGAATTCACCTAATGGCATCTGAGAGACACAAGGTGAGATGATACATTATGCAGATCCGTGACTTTAGCCATTGTGGGAATGTCTGCAGTTGTTAAACCTGAATGGGATGGTTTCAAAACCATTGGTTTTGTGTTTGGAAGTGTGGATGGATAATATCTGTATTATTAGGTAATAAAAATGAGGTTATTTGTTTGGGAGTGTGAAAGGGGAGAAATTTGGGTAAAAAAAAGATTGTAATACGATGATGGTTGAGTTTGTCTCTGGATCCACCCGTTACATTTTCTTGGGAGTCCATTTCCATTGCAGTTCTCACTTGACTGCACGGAGCAGCACATGTAACTGTAAATTATACAAGACACACATCCAGTGAAAGATGGAACTGTTTTAGAGTGGGAAATGGATAGAATGCCGATGTCTACATGCAGGAATGGTAGTTGTGGTTCATTTCGCTATTTACCACTTTTTTTATTAATTTATTTACTTGGACCGATTCCTTGACAATTTTTCCTTCTACCATTGTTCAGTAGGGGTGTAGATTGTTTGCGTACACTTCTCCGTCATAATAAACACATTATCATCAAGGAAGAGGTTGATGTCCTCTGTCATACTCATTACATGCACCTCATTGATAGGTATGTATGGAAGGGGGAGTGTATTATTTTTCAGGAACTGTAAAGATTAAAGTCACCATTGGAGTCAACTGCCAACTCCATACCATGTATGTGGAAACAAAGGATGGTAATGGTTCCCGTCTTTTTTGATATTTGTGTACCACTTGCTTTTGCACATTAAAGTGTACAATTAACAATACATGGTTGCAATGGTGATTCTTAAAAAAAAAAAAAAAATACGGCAGTGTGAAATCCTTTGTTTTATCATGGGAATTGGATTTGGATGTTACGAATCCTGTACTCTTCTGACGTGCAGATTTCATTCTCTTATGGGCGTTTCTGTGATAACCCAGTGGACGGTGTTTGTCGTCTGGGACTCTCGTGATAGTGAATGAGTTGGTAAATAGTAGAGAGAAGGCGTGTGTGATAGTGTAGTGTAGGATTGATTATTTGTTGTACTCTTGTTAAGAGAAGTGTTACTTGTTTGACGTGGGTGTCCTTATTGCACTATATGTGTATATATTTCATAATGTTTGAATTTCAACGAAACGAAATAAAAGAAACAAAACAAAATGATAATTATTTTATGCGCATGGGGCACATTTCCTTTTAATTTTTTTTTTCATTCCAAAGTGTTTAATGACATTTATGGGAAATTCTAAAATTGAAGTTAAAATGTTAAATTCTACAACCATATTTGACTTAAAAAAGAAAAAAAAAACAGTAACAGCAAAATGGTACACAGTCTCTTGGATAACACCAGAGAAATGTTAACTAAACAGTGAAGGAAAAAGTGAAAGATACATCTTGGAAAGGAGA